CTTCCTTCCTTCCTTCCTTCCTTCCTTCTTTCCTTCCTTCCTTTCCTTCCTTCCTTCCTTTGTTCTTTCTTTCTTTCCATCTATCCATCCATCTATCCATCTATTTATTTATTTATCTATTTATTCTTCGAGTGTGTATTTAGTTTTTACTTGGCCATGTTGCAGCTCACAGCGAGCATGCTCGTACTGTGGCATTGATGCAGTCACACAACACGGTCTTCATTCTCCTCCACGCCTTTTCCTTCCAACTCTCGGTCCCTCCTATGCCACTTGTAAACTCTGTTTCCACCTTTCTCCCTGTAGGTCTTTTTTCCTTCATCCCCTTGCCTCCTTCTCTGCACTCTGTCTACCTCTCCATCCCCTGGAAAGAGATCTCCCTACTTCCTATCATCTATCTTATTTTGCTTTTTATTTATATTTTGGGTTTCTCCTATAAGAGAAAACATTAAGAGAAAACCATTGTAATGGTTTAGATTTTTTAAACAAAATCCCAGATGCTTAATTAAAATGTAACTAGAACACGGGATGCGCACTATACTTAAAAACTACATGACATAATGCTTAAAACATTTTCCTGTTCTGCACATAGTTATGATTTTTATTACATGATTGCTCTGTATGCATGATATACTCTAAGCTTTTCAAAATATCTACAATATTTTGATGTTCTTTTAGCTTTCTTTTTTCGTGCTGGGGATCGAACTCAGGACCTTGAGCTTGCAAGGCATATGGCGGCGGCAACACTGAGCTAAATCCCCAGCCCTCTTTTACCTATTTTTGTCATTTGTTTGTTTGTTTTTGGTGCTGGAGATGAAACCCAGGGCCTTGTGCATGCCAAACACAACTACTGCCTGCAGAGCCCCAAACCCACGGGGTGACAGCTTGCCCCTCACTTACCTGTGTTCTTTCCCCTTCTGGTTTTACTTACCTATTACTATTGAATTATAAACAAAACTCTTTGCTCAGAAAAAATATTTGCAAAAACATTTGTCTGGAGAGGTGTATTTGTCACCCTGTCTGTGGAGAGATGCATCTAGTAAGCATTTTATGGGGTATGCTTGTGTAGCAGTAACAAGCCCACCCAGAATGACGAAGGTAATTTGAAGAAAAAGGAAAAAGTGGTTTTGAAATTGTCTTTTTGATTTGATCATTCTTAATGAGCCAGCCTAATAGGGAAGGAATATATTACCTAGATTAGTAGCTACAGCCAACAGGTTCTTCTTCAGTAGAATATTTAAGAAATAAATTTGGCAGTAGCTGTAGAAAGCTTTTGCGTATTTAATTTTTCTTCTGGCTCTAGCACTTTGTTTTAGGAGCGTGAGTGTGAAGTAGCTGAATACAGCATTCACAGAAAACTAGAGCTTGTTTAAACCATCAGTAGGCTCTTCTGACTATAATTTAATAATGATTTTGATTTATCACTTATGGCTTAAAAAGAATGATTTCTAAAAAATGCAAAAAAGGTACGCAATTTTCATCAATTTTTTCTTCACACCTGAGTTAAGAAATGGCGAGGCAGTACTGCCACTTACTTCTGTCTAGGACACCTGGAAAAAATAATTTTTGAATGAATAACTCAAAATCTTTTAAAATATGAGTAAGCTTTTATTAACTTTTTTCTTTTTCTTTACTTTCTTTTTGTGCTGGGGATTAAACAAGGCCTTTGAAGTAAGCTGTTACCCCTCCCCCCCCCCCAATTTTTTTGAGAGGGTTTAGCTAAACTGCCAAATTGTCCAGACTGGTTTTGAACTTGGAATCCTCCTGCCTCAGCCTCCCCAAGTGCTAGGATTATGAGCATGGGCTACAAAGGCCAGCTTCATTTCTTTGCTTGAAGGCAAATATTAGCTATCTTGGAATTTGAATTCTTTTTCAATGCATAAAGAGTTGAAATGACAATATTCATGCAAAAGAGAAAAAGGGAAACATTTTAGAAAGTGGATTTAACATACTGTAATATAATACAATATAATATTGTTTCTGTTTATACATTTATTGTCTTATATGAAATTTTTGGAAATTTAGATTTTTGCAGCAATATTGAAAAATGCTAAATTTCATGTTAGGTCTTACAATTTAACTTGGCTAATAAGGGTGTCACTGCGATGGTAAACATTGCTGTATATGACAGGGACTGATTTTGATTATTTTAGCTAAATCATTCCGTTGAATTCACTGCCAGTGTAACTGAGAAAGAGTCTCCTGAGCCTGGTAGAAGTGAGTATTTCTTCTCTTTACCTTTACTCAAAATCCCAACCAGCGAAGTCAGCAGCCAGTAAGAGGCGCTGGGCATTGGTGTTTATCCCAGGGTCCTCAGCATGAGGTCAGGTTCTCCCTGTCACAGTGTTGATGTGAACCCAGTTAAGGAACAGGGCAGCTTTTCTGGTTCTTCCTCAGCAGTGTCCGTGTTACAGGGTGAGCAGTTTTATGCTGGGCTAGCAGCAGTGGAAAAGAGTTTTGGAATTCGGAATGTTCCACGTGTAGAAAGTGGGCACCTACGAGTTCCAAGAAATTGTTACAGTGGACTGAGAGAAGAACAATGAAAGTACCTAAACCACATCTGTCTTTTTAAGTTTCCTTCAAGCTGCTTTTAAATATTTACTGTCCAGTTTTAGTGGACACTGGTCATATGTAGTTTGAAAGATGGTATACCTGCTTAATTTTCCTTGTGCTTTCATGCCAGTCCCCAATCTCAGTGTATCATTTAAACCATTTTGGTAGAAGGAACAGAATAATAATCTCTGAAATTTTTATCGTCCATGCCTGTAGTGCATAATGATTCTATTCCTCCCGTGGAGTTAGTGCAGGCACACAACACATCCGGATTCCATTCTCACCCTTTCCCTCCCTCCACTCTTGCAGCTTTGTACTCTTAACATATTCAAGATAAGTCTCCATTAAATCTAAAGAGACTTTAGAGATTATTGCTGATCCAAAATTTTACTTTCTGGAAGAAAATAGTGTAGAAGTATGTAAGATGACACAGGAACTTGACTTAAAATAGTTTCGATTGCTTCTAATCTGGCCATGACATTTAACCTTCCTGAGCATCCCTCTCCCATCAATAAATTAGGAATAATGAGCGCGTGCTCTCTCTGTCTCTGTCTCCCTCTCTGTCTGTGTCTCTCTGTCTCTCTTGATATCTCTCTATTTTGTATCAGTAAAACAAATTGCAGTATTTACACAGCATCTGCTAGTGTACCCAGCATGTAATTTTCGCTTAATAAATATTACTTGTCAGTTTGCCTTTGGCCCAAGGTGACATGGCTGATTAGTAGTCTCATTAATCTGTAAGGAATTGATTTGGATTTCTCTCACTTATTTTAGCAAGGAATAAATTGAATTTTCTCATAATTTTTCAGTAGCTCATTAGGAATTATTTTATGTCCAATTCAGAAAATTACTTTTCTTACATAATTGTTTGCCCAGTGCAGTTGTTGTGCACTATGACACACAATGGTATCGGAAGTGATTTCCATAAAACAGTAGTGTAGGCCAGCCCGAACTTTTCAAATATTATTTTAAAGTAAGATGGGATATTTGAGGTATGGAAACAGTTTTGAAAAGGCTTATCATTTCTTAGGTCTGCAAGATTGTAATTATCTGGGTACTCTATTATGGTTATTGAATGTTTTGTGACCACTTATTGTAACATTTTTTTCCTTAGGAAATACATCATTTTAGTTAATGTTGACACCATCTTCTGCCTATAACATTAAAAAGTAGAGAAAATATTAAATGACAGTTAAAACACTGAGGGAATGGAAAAATGTTAAAATGCCTTGTAATACAAAAGCTATTACAATACAATCACCCTCATGCACGTACCAGTAAATATCTAGATTTAAAGACCGAGTCTCAGCTTGACTGATATAGCTTCTTAGGGTTCTTTCTTAAATCTGGAAGCTCTACAGTACAGATTTTACTTTTATGGTTTATATTAGAACTTGTGCAAGTACATATTTGGTCTCTATATACTGAGTCGGCCAAAAAATGTAACCACATTTCAGAGAAAGAAAAACGTATAAATATTCTAATACTAAATTTATTGAGACATCATGAGATTAACACACGTTACCTTTGGCCTATGCAATGACAAGAGCTGCTCAAAGTGGTGGCCATGAGCTCCCAGACATTTATTAGTTCAGCGAGCTGCTGCTTGGGTGACCTTGGTCATTGAGATTTCTGCACGCGCATTTTCAGTTTCTTCTCGCTGAGCCGGCAGTATAGTGGGTTTTCGGCGATATACGACATCCTTTAGACAAGGGTAACACCCATCTGTTGGAAAAGCTCAATACTGTCTTCCTTTTTCTGGAGTGTGTGTATACGTATTTTTTTGGGTGAACTCTTATCAGAGTGATTTTTAAAAACTTTTTCACCTACCAAGCCAGTGTCCTTGTTGGTAGCTGTGAGTTCTTCTTCTAATGAGAAATTATATTTTGTTGGCTGTTCAACCTATGTTCAACCGTTGGCTTTTCTACCTATGCCATGATTATCTAGTTTGTTTTGAATAATGAGAGAATAAGTTAAATTCTCTATTCTTCTCTATTCTTTGTGTATCTTGTCTACATAGTATTATAGTATTATTAATGAATCATAAGCCACTTTCAGCATCAGATGCAGATTTTTTTTTTTTTGGTACCAGGGATTGAACTCGGGACCTTGCGCTTGGGAGGCAGCTGTGGTGCCACTGAGCTAAATCTCCGGCAAATGCAGATTTTTAAACTATGGGTATTCATAAATATGTTTCAGAAATTTTAATCATGTAAACTTCTTGGGTTTGTGCATGTTTATGTTGTCTGTAGTTATATATGTGATTTTTCCAAAAAAAATTGTAGGCACTGAATATCAGGAAAACGTACAGAATAGTAACAGAATTCTGTGGAGTGCAAAATTGGACAGTATCCTGAGACACGATGCCTGAACATTAGTATGTAGTAGGAAACAAAACTTCCAGTTTGCTCCTATCTTGGCATAATGTCTTGGACAGATTCAATCAAAGATGAAGTCTTTCTACAAATTCTTCTGTTCCCCTTAATTTCATTTTCAGTACTTCCACATCTGTTAGAGTTTAATTAGATCGGAATTTAAAGGATTTTAAATATTTTATTCCCAAAGCTGGGGATTTAGCTCAGTGGTTCTGGCGCCTGCGTTGCAAGCACAAGGTCCTGAGTTTGATCCCCAGTACCAAAATAAAGAAAAAAAGATTAAAATATTTTATTCCCAAAGATTATTTTGTGAATTTTCTCCCTTCCGGCAATATTTGTAGATTTTTTTTCTGTTAGTAGATAAACCCATTTTTTTGACGTTCTGCACTATTGGTATTGAAGCTCCATTTGCTGAAGTGGTGGTAGTGCATCTCTACTTTTCTTTTTTCCCATATATATACATTTTGTCCAGGAGGAAAAGTAGATAAATTGCTTTAGCTTCCTTGTTCTTCATTTGTTATAACTCTTTCTTCATCGTTTCAAGTCATCATAAGTAAATATAAATAAGCACAAAATCATTATTAAACAGCAAATATAGATTGTCAGCATTGTATTAAACGAAAAGACAGAAGGGGTGGGAAGGTTTTCCATCCTGAAATGAGTACCCTGAAAGGGAAGGGAAGGAAGGACGAGGGAGGGAGGGAGGGAGAGAGAATATAAATGAGAATATCAGACTAGCGTTTTCTGAGTCTGAGAATATCTGCAACCTATAAAAGATTTCGTTTTTGAGATCTAAAAAATATTCCTTTTCTTCAGTAACTTACAAAGCTAAGGAAGAAATTGAGGTATTTTTACCAAAGAGACATTTACTCCACTTGACTTGAACAAATAGTCCTCTATTAGGTAAAACCAGGACATTGATATTTGGCCTTCATTTCACAAACGGTGATTTTAAAGGACTCTGATAGTACTTGGTTCTGAACATACTTTGAAAATGGTGAAAGCAGGTTTTAATAATTCCAAGGAGTAACAAATGTATTCTGCTTTCAAAGCAGACTTTGAATGTTTCTTCTGTGTCGTTTTGCTAGCCAATATTTCAGAGAACAGGAGTGAACTGTATGGTTCACGGTAGTGCAGTACATAACATTTAGCTGATCCATGGTATTCTATCCCCGGACCTCAGGTAGCAATGACAGAACTTAGAGAATAGGAAAGAGAAACCAGGTGACCTGGAGTGTGTGGGAGAGAAGTGGCTGGAAGAGGAGCTGTGAAGTTACAAAAAGAACAGAGTAAGATTATCAGTTGGAAACGAGTGGGAGAATATCAAGGAAGTGCAAGGGCCAAGGCAAGTGGCAGATCATTAGGTACTGTGATCAATTCTTTGCTTTCGGAATAATACCTAGACAATTACTTTTCTGTGCTAGACATTCAATAATGTTAAATCACCACTTAAAGTTTAATCTCTGAAGTCATTTTAACCATAATAAATAACTCATCAGTTTTATCTTTATTAATTTTATTTGCACTTTGCATAGGTAACAGTTATACTACGTGGAGATGAAAGTAGAAGATAATTGTGTATAGGTAAATATAACACTTAAAAAGAAAATAGATAAAACCTGAAAGTGAAAATATTCTACTTTGTAAAAGTATCCCCAAAGTTACTCAGTTATCTAACATGTTTTATATAAAAATCTCCAAACATCTTTCAAGAAATCAGAAGTTTGGCATACATATTAATAGCAATAACATTGGAGTTTGGTCTTTGTAGTCAGATTTCTGAAAGATACCTTTCTCAATATTTCTTCTTCATCTGTATTTTCAGTAGAGGTTTTGACCCTTACTTTTTCCTTATTTAACAACCAGTATATATGATACAGAAATTAAAATAAAATCTATGAAAATTACACGTGTCATAATCAAGAGAAACTCAGTATTTTGATGTTAATTTTTATTCTCTTTAATAAGAATCTGTATATATGTATATGTAGAGTGTTTGTGTATATACCTTTGTGTGTATAGTATTTATATGTATTTTTGTATATAAATTCATTATAGTATAGCAAATTGTTTGGTTTTGCTGCCATAATCAGCACTACAACAAATATGCAGAACTTCTGTAGTTTTTCCTGGATATCTTTGGCAAAGTTGGTTCAATGGGAACTGGGGGTCTTAGGTTACAGCAGGCCTAATTTGTGTATTACTAACTTACTTTACAATATTTTCTGCCTAGTACATAAATATAATATTTTCTTAATATATAGACAAAAGCACCCCATAGTTCACATTTACTGAAATACAACTTTCACATTGATGTGTGTGGTTAATTTGTATTTCTTTAAAGATCAGAGAAGCTGTGGAAACGAAAAAGCAAACTGCATTCACAGATCACATCTGAAGCATAATTTTTTTACCGAATTGGATCTATGCCGAGTAAAGAGACAAGTGTTCTTTTCAACATTAAGAAAGGAAGAGTTTTAATGTGTTTAAAATGCAACCTAATTTATATGCTGCTAAGAGTCCCGAAGTTGATTAAAGTCTATACAGTGAATGA